GGTAAGTAACGCTGGCCTCCGCCAGCCTCTCTCCACTCTACGACCTACTACCTACCAGCGCCCAGCGCTGAAGACTACAGCTACAGCTATGGCGCCCAGCGCCGAAGACTACAGCTAGCGCTACCACTACTGCCTAACGCTGAAGACTACTGCAGCGCTCCTCCTGAGTGCTGCGGCCGAATCCTGAAGACTACCTCTGCCTACCGACTCTACCTACCCGTGAAGTGCATGGGATCCTCCTATGTACTACGGGTGTGCCTCTTGAGCCTGCCGAAGGAAGGCAGGGGCTGCAGCTGCAGCTCCTGCTCGAGCACGTGAGGAACAAGCTATTTTGGGCCTGTTCCGCATCCCTATTTCCGTGCCTGAGTCTTAGGGGCAGGTCGAAACAATGAGGGCCTGAAAATGGCCCTCCGTTTCAGGCTGAAAACTCTGGGTCTGAAAAGACCCAGAAATAGGCTGAAACGAGGTAGGGCCTGCAGGCCCTCGTTTTTCAGCACCCAGGCTGAAATGAACGGGGCCTGCAAGCCCTAAGTTTTAGGCTTTTAGGCTGAATGTCCGGGACGGGCCCTGTAGGCCCATGTGGCTACGCAGTATGCCACAGAAGGGGTCTGGTGCTTCACACAAGAAGACCGCGCCAGCCCCAACCATACACAGACGAAGGAGGTGGGGTTAGACGAAGAAGAAGGGAAGATGGGAAGGTCGTCAACACCAAGTGCTCGGCACAGGCCCAAATAGTCCCTCGTCGAAATGTCTGAATCCCAATGTCGAGTCTGGATCCAATGTCGTCGAGTCTCAAGTCACAACTCTTTCTCTCTCTGTCGTAGTCTAAGAAGTTAGGTGGCAAGAGGGTGAGAAGAGATGGTAGACTTAGAAGAGGAAGAAGAAGAACTCTCTCTCTCTCTCTGTGTCCAGTACTAACCTGTGAAGTTGGCGCCTTGATGCCGGTACCTCGAAGATGGAGCTGGAGCGATGGCGCCACAGGTAAGTACCACTGGCCTCCGCCAGTGTCTCTCCCAACTCTACTACCTACCACCTACAGCGCCCAG